AGCAGTGGGCAGCAGCAGTGTGAGGCAAAAGAACTGAGTGAGGAACTCCTGGGAATCTCTCTGGGCAAACTCACTGCATACTTTAAGCTACTGGATGATGTATGCAAAGGGGAGATTTTAACCCCCAGCTCTGACGGGTAACAAGCGCGGCTGAATAAGCACAGTGTTGGGGAACAGGAGTGGATAGTGCTCTTCATGTAGCTTGCAAACCCTCTATTAGTGTTCGCTGCGTTCTGTCGTAGAAATGACTACAAACTAACTAGAACAGGGAGGCATGTGGCTAGACCTTGTATATGGCATATATTCAGAACAACACTGTTATTTGGCCCATGTATTTCTTTCACATAGTGGCTGTAATGTAATGAGCAAAGACTCACTGTTACATGTTAGCAACCAGGTACCTGTTCAGTTAGGGAAGTAATTCTCAACCTTTTGGACTCAAGACACCCCTCACTGAATCTGAGGCACCCCTCCATAACTTTTGCAAATTCAGTGGCATCCAGTTTCAAAAACTAATTTATATATTACAGTGCTTACCCCCTTGCAGAAGTCCAAGCCTGTGTGTATCTACTTAGGTTATTGCTTATCCCCTCACACCTCACAACACACTTCAAAGCATCATGTGGCACCCCAGGGTACCTTAGCACCCTGGTTGAGAATCACTGGAATAGATAAACCCAAACCACAGGAAAGGTTCCCCGACATTTTCTATATAGCCATATGCTGAGAACCACACCCCCTAGGTTCTTCAGATTCCTCTATCCACCTCTTACAAGAAAGGAGCTTATTTGAATGTAAATGATATCTCTAAGTCCTAGGCACAGAATGTACTTGCCCAGGTGTGTACATAAAGGAGTGGAATCACTGCCTAATCTCACTATGTAGCCACGTCCAGGCCCACCCCCAGATCTCCCTTGTTCGTTTCTCCCCCGACACGTCGTCCTGTTGGAATTCTGAGCTGCGATTCTTCAGGACGGGGCCGTCCCTGTCTGCTCTGAATTGCCTACAACATGATTGGGCAAAAACATCAAAAGAAAACTTAGAACAAGTGCTCAGGAGGTATTGACCATGAGCAGAAGGAAAAGGCTGGCAGGGCACAGCAGGACAAGGTGTTAGATTTCAGGGGTAGGAAGTCTAATTATGTAGAAAAACTGGTGAATACATACAAGGAGGCATTAAAGTCCAGCAGAGCAAGAGAAGTGGGGAACACCCAAGAGAGAGAACTGTATTCACTGTGGCTTCTCAAGAGATTGTAGTTAAATGTAAGGCAGAAATCTGTTTCTCTTTCTGCTTCTAAATAGCAGTTTTCTAATTATGTAAATGGCCTATTTGTCATTTGTACACAGGTGGTGATTGTATTACCCCTTGTAACAGGGGGACCTGTGCCTGTTACTGAGACTAAAGCTACGCAGCAGAGCTAAGTGGCTGCAAGGCAGTGCAGAGGGGTAGCTTAAGAGAAGCAGGCTGCAGAGAGAAAAGGCTGCAAAGTGGGTAATAGAAAACCCCTGTGCCTGGTCCAGAGCAGCAGAGATCAGGTGATGGGAAGAGGGATGGGGCCCTTGGCAATATAAGCCTGACTTTTGGGCTAGAATTCATGTTCTGACCCAGATCCTTGTGGGAAAAGAATTTCACCTGTAGATAAGTGAAATAGGCTTAAGGTTTATGTTGCTGTTTGATTATGTGTTGGGCTGAGGTATGGGATGGCTAGAAAGGGGTGAAGAAGAAGTCATTACAGTGCTGAATATTTCTTTTGCAAAAAAGGGTAATAGTCCTTTGGACCCAGTAAAAGTGTCCAACAGAGGGTGTTACATGACAGGTGGCTGGGGGTAGCTGGTGATGGGTGTTTGAGCCCAGGATCTATGCCTAGTGAGCTGATGTAGGGCTGACCAGAAGGAGCCCGGAAGACTGTTCAGACTGTGGTAAGGAAGGAAACACCTGGAAGACTGCTGCTAGAGCAGTCTCTTGAATTCATACAGTACTGAAAATGTGGCAGGTGAAACAGGTGGAGGTGATGCAGAGAGCATACCAAATAGACTCTGACTGCCAGAGGGCATCTGACTCTGGAGCCCTGGACCTGCTACACTCTGCAGTGTGGATGCATAAGCATGAAAGTGTAGAGTGAGCATGTGTAGAAAGCTACACAATAGCTGGACAAATACAGAGCTATGTTTGCACCCATTCTGAACTTGCACTTACATGTAAGTCATGAAAATGTAGTTGGCCAGAAATGTATGACTGGCAGCTCTTGAACTGAAGAGAAGGCAGATCTTACCCTGTTTTGGTATCAATAGGTGAGGGGTTAGGGCACTTCCCTAGGAAACAAGAAACCTAGGATCTAGTGCTCCTCCTCCCTTGTCCACAGGGTGTTTACCTCTGTGTCTCTGGCTTCCCAGCATAGTGCTCTAATTGCCAGTGTCCCTTTTGAAACAGTCACTGTCCTTTGCATGCAGTTCTTCATTTTTTGTGGGTTGTAATGCTGTGGAAAAGCTTCTGCCCCATTGGCATATGCCCTTGCCTCTTTGCTAGGCCCCTTATATCTTGGCTGACCAGGGGCACAGATTCAAAAGGAGCACTAAACAAAAGTAGCAGGCAATGCTTAGCCTGTGGTGGGGTGGTTAGACCCTTGCACAGCTTCACAGAAAAGTCAGACTGAAAGGGCCCTGAGGAGGGACAAATTTGGGGAGTGCCAGAGGCTGGATTCTTGCCTCGGGTCCATGTAAAGCAGGTATGACTGG